ATCCCAAAATAAAATGGCTTAAATGAGGTAGCTTTTTTCTCACATGACAGTCCAGAGGGAGGTGTGGTCCACGGTGAGTGGTGTTCCAGTTATTTTTGCTGCATAAGACAACAATAATTGCATTGTGCTCATGGATTCAGTGGGTCAGGAATTGAGGGCATAGTGGGGATGCTTGACTGTGCTTTATGATGTCTGGGGCCTTAGCTAGGAAGACTTGAATGGCTGGGGGTAACTCACAAGGCTAAGGTTCAAATCATCTGGAGGTTTCTTTGTGCACATGTCTGGTGCCCAGGTGGAATGATAAGATTTGTCTTAATTGGGACTATTGATAGGTGTGCCTATGCATGTCTTTATGTGGTTAGGGCTTCCATACAGCATGATGGCCTCAGGGTAGTTATACTTTTTGCTCCAATAGCAAGTAAGGTGGAAGCCACATGGCCTTCTGTGACCTTTTCTCAGAAGTTGTATAGTATCATTTTTGCCATATTCTTTTGCCCAACCCGGTCACAAGCCTACCTAGATTTAAGGATAGGGAACAGAGACCTCACTTCTCTATGTGAGGCAAGCTAAAGAATGGGTTGTCATGTTTTAAACCCATTACAGATGGAAAGCCTGTCACGTGAAGTCACCCCACGACCCAGGTTGGTTTGGTAGGGGAGGGTACAGTCGGCTCTGCCATTTGCATTATGTAGATTCCACCTCTGGTTTTCAGGTAACTAGACCCACTGTTGCTGTATCCCAGCCAGGGAAGAGAGAGCAGAGGGCAAGCTGTTCCTAGTAAAAACATGGTTCAGAACTTGCACACATCACTTCTGCTGGTGTCCTATTGGCTAACTCTTAGTCGTACCACTACACCTAGCTGCAAGGAAGGCTGGGAAATGTAGTCTGTAGCTGAACAGCCATGTACCCAGCTGCAAGTTGGTGGGGTTCTGTTACCAAAAGGAAGCAAGGGAGAGTAAGTATTAGGGACAATTACTATTTGCAGCGGTATGTATTTTTTTCATATATTTGCATATAAATGTACATACATTTGTGTGTGTGTATAAATTATGTCTATATAGAATGTAAAAATAAATAGATACAGAGAGGGGAAAACAGGGAGGTATTAGTCAAGGGTACAAAGTTTCAGTTATTCAAGATGAATAAGTCCTAGAGATCTACTGTACAGCACAGTGCCTATAGTTAACAATAATGTATTGCAGACTTAAAAATTTGCTAAGAGGTAGATCTCATGTTAAGTGTTCTTATCACACACACAAGAATACTAATAAAGAGCAGAAGGAAACTCTTGGAGGTGGTGGATGGGTTTATAGTTTAGATTGTGGTGATGATTTCATGGGTATATACTTATCTCCAAATTCATCAAGTTGTATACATTAAATATGTACAGTTGACCCTTGAGCAACACAGTCTGAATTGCCCGTGTCCACTTAAATGCAGATATTTTTCAATAAATACTCTAAGTGTAATTTCTCTTCCTTATGATTTTCTTAATAACGTTTTCTTTTCTCTAGCTTACTTTATTGTCAGAATACAGTATATAATATATATAATACACAAAATATGTGTTAATCGACTGTTTATGTTACCCAGAAGGTTTCTGGTCAACAGTAGGCTATTAGCAGTTAAGTGTTTGAGGAGTCAAAAGTTAGACGTGGATTTTTTTTTTTGACTGTACAAGGGGATCAGCACCCCTAACCCCAGCATTGCTCGAGGGTCAACTGTACAGCTTTTTGTATGTCAATCATACCTTAATAAAGTGTTTTTTTTTTTTTAACGAAATACATAGATACATAGAATATAGTCTGGAAGTATACACAGAAAAAGGTCTAGAAGAAGTTGTTAACCGTAGTTACTCTGGGTGAGAAGACAGGGTAGGGGTATATTCAAAGCAGACTTTAGCTGTAGCTGTAGTGTTTTAATTTTTAACAAGAATAATGTTTTCACATATTACTTGTGAAATTAAATATTAATTCAAACTGAAGAGGTCCTGGAGAGCATCTGGCAGCTGATTTTGTTGCTTTACCCTTATCTCTCCAAGAATGCCAGGAGGTGGTGCAGACCCGTTATCTCTCAGGAGCCTCTCAGTCCAAACTCCCCACCTTCTTGAAGCTTCTGTCATCTGGTCAGGGTCTCTCTGCTCCTGTCCTCCCCATCTGCTTCTGGAGGGTTTCCTCTGTTACCAGCAGATATTTGTTGAACGAGAGGGCTGTTTGGCACTAAAGAATTCAAAAGTAATTAAAACTCAGTCTCTCTCTGTACAAATAACTTATTAATTACAAATAGAAAGTTGGTCACTGTACAGTAGAGGAACCGGGTGGACACTTTCACCAATTGTACCAAGCAATCAAAGTTAACATCATGGACACCGTGGCCCTCCTGACAGGAGGGGCGAAGGACATAGTGTAACTTTAGTGGCATTCTGGCCCCAGTGCATAACCAAAATTTAATCGTGAGGAAACATCAGGTAAACCCAAATTGAGGGACATTCTCCAAAACAACTAGACTGAACTCTTTAAAAATGTCGATTCATGAAGGACAAATGTTGAGGAACCTTTAGATTAAAGAGACGAGCAGTAACACAAGGCATGCGACTGAATTGGATCTGAAGGAAACTGACATGAGAAAGACAGCAAAATTTGAATTTGGACAGTTTTTGAGGTCATAGCATTGTTTTATATCAAGGTCAAATTTTCTTTTTCTTTTTCTTTTTTTTTTTTTTATTCAAAGCAGACTTTAGCTGTAGCTGTAGTGTTTTAATTTTTAACAAGAATAATGTTTTCACATATTACTTGTGAAATTAAATATTAATTCAAACTGAAGAGGTCCTGGAGAGCATCTGGCAGCTGATTTTGTGGCTTTGCCCTTATCTCTCCAAGAATGCCAGGAGGTGGTGCAGACCCGTTATCTCTCAGGAGCCTCTCAGTCCAAACTCCCCACCTTCTTGAAGCTTCTGTCATCTGGTCAGGGTCTCTCTGCTCCTGTCCTCCCCATCTGCTTCTGGAGGGTTTCCTCTGTTACCAGCAGATATTTGTTGAACGAGAGGGCTGTTTGGCACTAAAGAATTCAAAAGTAATTAAAACTCAGTCTCTCTCTGTACAAATAACTTATTAATTACAAATGGAAAGTTGGTCACTGTACAGTGGAGGAACCGGGTGGACACTTTCACCAATTGTACCAAGCAATCAAAGTTAACATCATGGACACCGTGGCCCTCCTGACAGGAGGGGCGAAGGACATAGCGTAACTTTAGTGGCATTCTGGCCCCAGTGCATAACCAAAATTTAATTGTGAGGAAACATCAGGTAAACCCAAATTGAGGGACATTCTCCAAAACAACTAGACTGAACTCTTTAAAAATGTCGATTCATGAAGGACAAATGTTGAGGAACCTTTAGATTAAAGAGACGAGCAGTAACACAAGGCATGCGACTGAATTGGATCTGAAGGAAACTGACATGAGAAAGACAGCAAAATTTGAATTTGGACAGTTTTTGAGGTCATAGCATTGTTTTATATCAAGGTCAAATTTTCTGTATGTGATAATTGTACTGCAGATGTACAGGAGAATATCATTGTTCTTAGGAAATACACACTCAAGTATTTAGGAGTAAGGAGGTGTCTTGTCTACAACTAACTCCCAAATGGCTAGAACAGGAATGGGCCAAGTTTTTTGGTAAAAGGCCAAATAGTGAAGATTTTAGGCTTTCTGGGCCATATGGTCTCTGTCACAACTACTCACTCTGCTGTTGTAGTGCCAAAGCAGTCACAGACAATATGTAAATGATAGGTGTGGCTGTGTGCCAATAAAACTTTATTTATGGGCACTGCAATTCCAATTTCATATAATTTTCATGTCACAAAGTATTCTTTTCAACCATGCGAAACCCATTTCTATCTTACCATCCATACAAAATTAGGTGGCCAGATGTGGCCTGTGGGCTGTCTTTAACGATGCCTGATATAGAAAAAGAATACACACACACACACACACACACACACGTACACGTGTGCTCACACACGCATGCTGAAGTCTCCTTTGAACATACCCCTATCCTGCCTTCTCCCCTTTCCCCAGAAGTAATCATTTTCTTTTTCTAGACCTTTTTCTTATTTTTACATTTTTTAAATTAATTTTTTCTTTTTCTCATGAGGTACCCAGAAACCATTCTAGATCTTTTTCTATGTATTCTTCCAGACTGTGTCCTATGTATTTTTCTAGTTGATTTGGCAAGAACTCTCTTCATTGCCAGGATCAGCTCAAAGTGAACACTAAGTGAAAATAAATTTGTTAATTTATATAACCTAGAGTATTGGATAGAATTACATTCAGACTTGGTTAGACTCAAGAGCTGAAATGATGCTGTGAGAATTCTGTCTCTGAGCATCAACCAATTCTGTTTTCCTGTTTGGCTTCATTGTTAGGTAAGCTGTCCCACTCAGAGCCCCAGGTGTACCTTCTACCAGATTAGCAAACCCAAGAGTTTTTAAAAAGAACATCTCTAAACTGATCACTCCAACCAAAGTCCCAGGGTTGGCTCTCATTGGCCCAGCTTGAGCCATGTGTCCACCTCTGAACCAATCAATTGCCAGGGGATTGGAGGATACTGATTAACCAGGCCTGGGTCATATGACCACCCTTGGAGTAGGGACCTATAGCTCTACCCAAACCATCTGGACTAAGAATTGACCCCCAAAGGCATGTTTGGTTGCTGTTACCATCAGAAACAATGGAACCTGGGTAGGAAAGAGCTGCAGTTACTCAGTATAAAAGTACTGTGCCATGCTTGCCTTCCCCAATTCCAGTTCCAATTTTTTCTTTTTTAAAATTGTTTCTTTTTCTACAGTCCCAATTTTCTAAGCTACATCCTTGATAGTTGTATTGTTTTTGCTATCAAGCTGTGACCTCTGTAGTCATGTCCCCTGACCACAAGCAAATTATGAAAAATGACCTGTTTACGTTCTCCCACACACCCTGCCCTGGCTCTTTTGTCCTTCAGGAGACACACAGGATCTACAGGCAGAAGCTAGAGGAGCTGACCGCGCTGCAGACTCTGTGTAGCAGTTCCATCAACAAGCAGAAGAAGCGACTGAAGGATTTGAAGCACACACTCCAGAGGTAGGCGGGGCTGCAACTCAAAGGCTCCCCTGGTTTTTAGGGACAGAAATCCAGCTCAAGACTGGCTTAAGCACACTAAATGTCCATCAGCGGATGAATCAACCTAAACGTCCATCAGCGGATGAATGGATAAGAAAACTGGTTTATATACACAATGGAATACTACTCAGCTGTATATAAAAAAAAAGATATCCTATCATTAACAGCAACATAGATGAAACTGGAAACCATCATGTTAAGTGAAATAAGCCAGGCACAAAAAGACAAATACCACATGATATCACTAATATGTGGAATGTAAAAAAAAAAAAAAATGGTTCTCATAGAAGTAGAGAGTAGAATAATGGTTACCAGAGGTGGGGGGATGGGGGTAGAAGTGATGGACTAGTGGATACAAAACTATGCTGTCTACCCTAAGTGAATCATCATGCAGTATTTGCATGTATTGAAACAACATACTGTACCCCACAAACATGTACAAATAAATGTTTAAAGAAAAAAAGCAGCTTAAGCCAAGAATGGAAATTTTAATGGAAAAAAGCCAGGAGTAGCTTCAGGCATCACCAGATCCAGGGGTGAAAGGGTGCTTTACCTTTGTCTAGATTGGCTCCACTCTCAGGCTGATTGTCCCCTCATGGCCACCATCACTGCTATACTTCTATCCTCCAGTCTTACTTCCTTACCGGCTTGGCCACCCCAGCTGAATGAGAATTTCTCTTTCCCAATACTTCAGCAGAGGTTCTGGGATGATCTTCCTTGGCTGGGATTGGACATGTGCCCACCTGTGATTCAATCACTGAGACTCTGCTTGGGCAAGACGAGGTCATGTGCTCAGTCTTGGACCTGGGAGGTGGGACAACCTTGTTGGACCACATGGAGGGGGGATGAGGATGAGAGGTAGTTCCCCAGTAGAAAGTTGGTGTGCTGTTAACAGAAGAAGCTCTGCTGGCCACGTAGCAAGCAGGTATCCTCATGGATGTGGAGGCGTTCCCCATCAGGGTCTCTGGCGTAGGGGGTACTAGCTTGACATCCCTGGTGGGGACATACTTGAGCTCACGATAGTTCCGTTCCTGAGGACTGGATCCTGTTCACTTCCCAATCCTCCCGTCTTCATGGTTTGGGAAGTTCTCTCATCCCACATGGTGAAGGGGTCTAATGGATGCTGTAACCCCCTAGTCAGGCAGGGAAACTGAGACTCTGAGTGACTTGTCTTAGGTTACTTAGCTAGGCCACTTTTCCAGAGTTCGTGACTCCTGGTCAATCCTTTCTTTCCCTCATGGGCAGTTTTTGGGAATGGTACTGATTATACCCCTAACCTTGGTTGCCCATTTTGGAAATCAAGGTTGATTAGTAATGGGGTAGAGAGTGTGGATGGTTCCATGTAAAGACGTCACCAGATATGTCTTGGAAAAACATGTCACACTGATGGAAGGACTCAACAGTCCTGAGTCTTTTTTTCAGTGTAGGGTTTTTCAGCCTCGGCACTGTTGATGATTCTTTGCTGCAGGAGTTGCCCTGTGCATATTAGGAGGGTCAGCAGCATCCCAGGCCTCTACCCACCAGATGCCATTAGCAACCCCAACTCCTGTGGTGACAAACAAAATGTCTCCAGACATCACCACGTGTCCCCAGTTGACAAGCACTGGGTTAGAAGATTGACCCATGAGTTGGGTTCTTAGCTCAGTGATTCCTACCATATCCGAGGGTACCATGTCTACTGACTTGTTTTTGTAGTTTTGAGAGTTAAATGATGATTCTTTGCTGCAGGAGTTGCCCTGTGCATATTAGGAGGGTCAGCAGCATCCCAGGCCTCTACCCACCAGATGCCATTAGCACCCCCAACTCCTGTGGTGACAAACAAAATGTCTCCAGACATCACCATGTGTCCCCAGTTGACAAGCACTGGGTTAGAAGATTGACCCATGAGTTGGGTTCTTAGCTCAGTGACTCCTACCATATCCGAGGGTACCATGTCTACTGACTTGTTTTTGTAGTTTTGAGAGTTAAATGTCACTAAAGAAGAACAGTCAGAACTTGATTGGTTAACTGCTTATACTTTCCAGGGCCTCCCTGTCTGTCCTCTTAGTAACCTTCAGTTTATTCCTTTAGAATAGTGAGAAGAAAATTGTGTTGCCAGCTAACATCCACTGAGCTCGTACAGTGTACCAGGTATCATTCTAGATGCTTTGCTCTGTATTTACTCAGTCCTCACAAAGGTATTGTCCATGAGATAGGCCTGATGTTATCCCCATTTTTCAGGTATGGAAAATAAGGCAGAGAGGTTCAAGGTCTTTGCCAAGGTCCCAAGGCTATTAGGGAGCAGAATCACACCCCGAGAGTACAGATGGGCAACTGAGGTTGAGAGGCATCAGGTAGAAAGGCAGGAGGGCGCTGCCCAGGGCGTCCAGATTCTTCCTCCATTTGAGTAATGTTCCTGTCTCTACACCTGCACCTCTGACCCCAGGTACAAGCGCCATGCAAGTCGGGAGGAGGTGGAGCTCGTTCAGCAGATGGGCACAAACATCAAGGAGCGGCAGAATGTCTTCTTTGACATGGAGGCCTACCTGCCCAAGAAGAACGGGTAGGAGCTGGGAACCTGCCCTCCCCTGGCCCGTGTGACTCCACCTGCCTGTTGGAGCTTGAGGTTGGGGGAGGAGAAGAGGAAGCAAGGGCAGGACAGAGAAGGATCTTCCCCACGTGTTCCTCCCTGAGCCCGGGAGGGGACCTCAGTCCCTGCCGTGTCATAGTGACGTTCCTGGAGGACTCTTGTGAGGAACCAGCACCCGCCACATGCCTGGTGCCATCTGGGTCAAGAAGGAAGCTGTTCTCTTCCAAGAGAACAAACATTTATTGAATGCCTACTTGCATGCTCAGCATTGTTCCGGGAGTTCCCTTGACATCAGGCATTTTATTCTCACAAGGTATCCCCATTTTTACAAAGTTCAGAGACATTAGGGAATATTTGGTCAAGGTGGCTAAACCCAGGTTTGGCCAAGCCAGGAAGTGGACACTCGACATTCCAACTCCAAAGCCTGTGTTCTTTCCATCTTCCCCCTTCAGAGAAGTCCCCATCCATTCCATCAAGTGATGTCATTGCCGCTGTGTTCCAGACAGTACTCCTTGCAGTGTCATATCATGACCTGATACAGGCTGCTGAGCATGTCCCGTGCTTCACCCTGCCCCTTTTTCCCGGTGCAGCCTAGCACCGAGTCAGAGGCGCCTACCAGGGAGAGGGGATTTCTCTGAGGCCTGCGATGGGGTGGCAGGTGGCTTGCTAGCTGGCCCTATTACATTTTAACCCATTCCTTTCGGCCTTCTTTTTTGAGTGTTTAGTTACAAACTCTAGGAGTTAGGTAATTTTCTACAGAATGAAACAGCAGCCCAACATTCATGATCCCCTGTTAGTATTGCTTAAATCCTGGCTCTTCTGTCTTTAGTCCTCTGTGCATCTTACATCAGTCAGCAATCCTTACGTTTCAAATGACAGACAACCCAACTCGAAATTGCTTAAGAAAGAAGGGCTGGGGGCCAGCCTGTGGCTCACTCGGGAGAGTGCAGTGCTGATAACACCAAGGCCACGGGTT